AACTTTGGGTTAATTTACGCGACACGCGCCGGAACGTTATCAAGTTTATCAGTCGATTTCAACTGCTAGCGGCAGCGTTTCGTCAGAGCTTTAAATCGACGTTTAGAGATACTTTTCTCAAGGACATAAAAAATTAGAAACCATCAACTGTGTCAGATTACCTTTATTATCAAACAAAAGAAGCATTCATGACGTTGATTCTTGAAAACTGTTTACTCACATGTTTGTCATTACTTTGTTTTCGAAGACACGCCCTTGCATTTGGAGCAGTATTTGGCGATTTATTGGATTAATGATGATTCCTAATTCCTCATTCACACTCTCTTATCCATGTTGTTATAGCTGCAAATGAAAAAGCCAAGAGGAGTGAAACTAAACGATCTAGGTTCAATAATGGGAAATGGCTGCTTGCCGAGTTGTTGTCGCAGTAAAGCCACGATTTCACGGCCTGTGCTGCAAGTAATGCCGTGCCGTTGAAACCGAATATTTAAGATTATGGGATATATGGGAATTCCAAGCAGTACATTTGGTGTACACTATTTTGTGTTATCATGGCGCAATAACGGTCAGCAAATACAACTCGAAATATCCCAAGACATCATCGAACATTTGATCTCCTTACGAAGAAAAATGCAAGCAGTACATACGTAAGGTATAAACTCAAACCAATTTGTATATAGACTTATAGACAGTTATAAAACTGATTGTTAATTCATTTTTTAGTTTCATTATCTTATTCTACCTGAATATACGTTAATCCATGGTACTTCTTAATTGAAGAATACATTCCTATACCTTGACAGTTTTCACAAAAAGAGATTAATCACCATTATGTGCATCGTAAGAACAGATTGTAATTACATTTATACGCGGCCTTAGTTTTCAAAGTAATGAGCATTTATGTACGTACTACTAAACTAGCCTTCCGCATCTTATTTAGTAGATGAGTTATTATTTATATTGGCATATCGAAAATATATTTTTTGAATATGTAGAATTAATTCTCTAAATGTTAAGAAAATTTAAATTTACATCATTTCTCTATTTCAAATAATTAATAGACTGAAAATGATACATTGAATCTATTATCACTATTTTAACAATTGCAGGTTAAATTTAAAGTTTACTTAAACTGACACTTTTGATGGGCACGTCAGACAAATTCTTGAATAAAAACACCCTTTATGTAAAGTTTCTGCGATTTCAAAAGCATCATCATTTCTAACAGCTTTCCAGCAACATTCCATCAGAATGATCAGAAATTGGTGCCTTGGTTGGCACTATTCCATTCTAGTACATATGAATCTTCAACTATAAAAGTGTGTGAACACCTTTATATACTGTTATGTATTAGCTATCTCGTATAGCCTATAACAGCCGTTTGATGTCAGTGATGATGGAAAGCAACAGCGAAATCTGTGCCTTAGATCGGAATATTGCATCCAGGTACACATGACCCTTGACTATAAAAGAGTGTGGAATTTTTTATGCACTGCAATTTTATCTATCACACATAACCTATAATAGCTGTTCGATGTCAATGATTGATGGAAAACAACAGTGACTATATTTACACCGCAGTTAGCCAACCACTCATATACAAATATAGCAGGTTCCCTAACAAAACGCAGTTTATTGGTGCTCTGTGGCTATGCTCGCCAAGCGTTGTTTAGTACGTGGTGTAAATGAGCACAGAGCGGCACATACAGCGTGATCTAAAAGTCCCGGAACGGCTGTGTATTTTCTCGGGTAAGGTATTTTTGGAAAAGGTCAGTCAGGTCTTCAGTAACTTTTAGTAAGGAATTCAGGTGACCTTGAATTCGACCTTCAGCTTCAAGGTTTAATCCCTTTAAACTTTATTTTTTCAAATAGAAACCACTATTTTTGATACTGGTAATCGAAAGAACAGAACATTTTACGTTCAACACATTTAAAGTCCAAAGGTCAAATGTGTTGCTAGGAAGACCTCTATAAATCTTCACAGGATTAATGATGAAAATAACTATCAAGGTCAGGTCTGTAGTAAACTTTGACGAGTGATCTTGGATTTGACATTGAATTTTTTTTTCAAATATTAACAGTATCGGTTAAACACGTTAAACATCATTTGTAACGATTACACTCATTAAAGCTTACCCAAAGATCTGACCTTGCCAGTCATTTTCGTCATTATTCGTGTGAGATGTCTAGAAGTTTCCTAGCAGCAAACATTTGGCCTTTATGTGACCTTTAGTAGTCACCTTGGCCTTGAATAATACACATTTGAACATGAACTTTCCGGCTCTCTGGATTGTCGGCATCAAATAAGCGTTTCTATTTGGGAAATATAGTTGATTTTGAAATGACCTTGAAGGTACTTCCGATTGCCGGCATCAAAATAGGGGTTTCCATTAAAAAAATTAAGTCGACTTTCGGTAAGTTTTAACGAGAGACATACGGTGCTCGTTACCGATGATTCCAGTGCGTTCCGTTTTAGTGATCTAATTGTAATTCTGGTAACCGTAAGTGAAGTATTTTTGAGGTTCTGGGTTTATATTTTCTTGTTGTTGAAATTTTGCTTACCGTATAAAGCCTAATCCAGACTCCAAGTTATTTTATTTTTCTCTGCTTGACTCGTTCTTTAGTGATAGAATTGTAGCGTACCGTTTTCAGTGTATATCTTTGGTATACGAATTTTTAGAAGAGAGTTGTTTGTTTTTCCTTTTATTTTTGAATATTGACCGAACTAGTTTGCCGAAGAAAAAAAACTGTGAGTTAGATTTTAAGAATATTTTAAAACAAATCTAACCGAATACCGACAGATTGCCGAACCGTACCGCCCCGTTTGGTCTATAGCTCTTACTTTGGGCACTTTGAGAGTTGAGTGTCAAGTAGGTAGACTCTGCGCGCCAGTGTTGGTTAATTGCGATACTCTGGGACCTCCATAAGCGCTTTTATTGAAGATTATTTGCACATATTTATACATCCGACTGGTGATTCGACATACCTGACCCCATCTACCAGGCAGTATTCTCAATTTCTCCGAGTACGACCTCCTCCCTCGCAAGGTAGATAGTTCTCGGAAGTGACTAGTGAGGCAGGCCTTACTCGGTTGTAATTGCGAAAGCTGGTGAGATCAGGATATTCCCGATTCAGCTAGGTATCCCCAACTATCACATAAGTTAGACACCGAGCTCTCGGAAGTGACTAGTGGAACCTCGGTACACCTGGCGACTGTCTGGAATATGTACTGACTTAACCCTAATGTCAATCACGCAGTGAAGTTCTATTTCAGGAAACTGAAAGCCGAAACAAAAGGTGTTTTTCTTTTTCGTTGGCCTTGCAAATTATATATAATATATTTTTACGTCCCTGAAGGTCCCAGAACAATAGAAAGATACATACCAATATCTAATTGTGATCATTATATCCCAGCAAAGTTCCAGATATACAGAAGTGTTTTATAGGTTGAGTCATGGTGTCTCAAAATGTTGCGTCTTCGATATAGTTTTTTTTTAAAGGTTTGGTAAACACATTCATGAGGGAACTATTTAGTTTAGTTTAGTTTAAAGGTCCATTAGCCATAGTACGCGGCTTGATTTTATGAATTTCATAATTGCTTTGGGGTTCAAGAAGCAAGTCAGGGAGGCATATCTTTGTCTGCTGTGTGCTTACTTCATTGGGGTGCAGATTGAAATCCAAGCGAGAACGAGACACACAGAGCTTGAAGTAGACGCGGGTTAACTAAACGCCTGACCGTGATTATTCTTTTCATCACTAATCCTGTAAGATTCCTAGTGGTTTTCCTAGATTTTGACCTTTAGTGGTCACCATGACCTTGGTATTCAATTCGTATTTGAACATAAAATGTTTCGCTCTTTCGATTGCCGGCATGAAAAATAGGGATTTCCGTTAAAAGAATGAAATTGACCTTGAAGGTGAAGGTCAAGGTCAGGGTCCACTCCCTTGTTAAAATTTATTAACGAGTTGTGAGATTTAAAGAGGTTTTCGTAGCAGCACACATTTGACCTTTAAAATAGTCCCCTGACCCTGGACTTCAATTAGTAGACTTAGGTCCAGGATTTTATTGCATGTATCTCGTAGAATTATGCTAGTCTAGCAGCCCACAAAGCGGCTTTGCCGAGAGTGCCCCGTGTTTTTCAGCCCCTAGGACACTTAACGCGGTGTATATACGAAAAAAATCATAATTTTTCCAAAATCGAGTTAGGTCCAGGATTTTTTTCGATAAATCGTGATTATTTATCATATTCTAACCACCCACCAAGCGGTTTGCCCCAATGAAGTCCGGAAGGCCCCTATCCGCACTTCGATCAGAATTCGATCAGACACCTGTCATTTGTGAAAATCGACTTAGGTCCAGGATTTTATTGCATGTATCTCGTAGAATTATGCTAGTCCAGCAGCCCACAAAGCGGCTTTGCCGACTGTGCCCCGGAACATTGTTTTGCAGCCCCTATGGCACTTAACGCGGTGTATATACGAAAATCGTGATTATTTAACATATTCTAGCCACCCACCAAGCGGTTTACCCCAATGAAGTCCGGAAGGCCCCTATCCGTACTTCGATCAAAATTCGATCAAACACCTGTCATTTGTGAAAGTCGACTTGGGTCCAGGATTTTATTGCATGTATCTCATATATTTCAGATCTGTGCCGTCGGCGTGACCCTTAATGAGATTACACTCGCGATCTTGCCCCATAACCGTCGCGCTTTTCCCCCAATGTCGGAAGTCAGGACACACTTGGCAACGTTGCGCTGAGCCCTTCGGCGCTTTTGCGCTGCTCAAGTATGTGTTCCTCAGTACGCTTCGGATTTTGCTCCCGTACCGTCCGCTAAATATTAAAGGCGTGTGCCGTTCGAATCGACCCCTCCATTTATCAAACTGTAATATTTGTGAAAGACCAGTGCGTGATACGTGTTTTGTCAATAAGGTAGGTCGTACTTAATACATATTACCAGGTACCATGCAGTCAAAGAGCAGACCCAGATTGTGAGCACCTAGTCATAACATTGAGGCGCTTCGCTGTGGATTGGGTTGATTGTGCAGGAAAGGAGGTCGTTGATATGTAAGAGAAACAGTGTCGGAGCCAAGTCCGATCCCTGGAAAACACCCGCGTTGACGTTGTGGGATGAAGAGGAGAACCCGTCAATTCCGACGGATATCTTGCGGGCAGAGATAAAGTCAGCCACCCATCTGAAAAGCTTTTCTGGGAGGCCATAGGATGAAAGTTTGCTTAAGAGGGCAGCGTGCCACAGCTGATCGAACGCTTTCGTGATGTCAAAAGCAACGACATGAGCCTCACCATAAGACTGGATGAGTTTACTCCACAATTGAGTGACGTAAGCTAGGAGGTCCCCTGCGGATCGTTGGTGCCGGAAACCATACTGCCTGTCGCTAATCATGCCGTTCGAGGTAGTCCAGAAGCTCGCGATTTATGCACCTCTCCATCACTTTACTTAAAACAGAAAGCAGAGCTATAGGCCTGTAGTTGTAAGGGTCGGTCTTAGATCCCTTTTTTGGGATGGGTTGGACATGAGCAAATTTTCAGTTTTCTGGGAAGGTGCCGGATTCATAAGATATCTGGAAGAGACGCGAAAGAACTGGAGCAAGCTCCGGTGCACACCTCTTCAGTACAATGGCAGGAATCAAGTCCGGACCAGAAGCTTTGTTGATGTCGAGCGACAAGAGCGCTCATCTTACGGTCTTATGCCTGAATGTTACCTCTCGCATAGTGTAGGGAACCCTTTGAATTGACGGCACTTGGGCGTTGGGGTCCATGGTGTAGTTTCCAGCAAAGATCTTGGCTAGTACTTCCGCGTTGGCCTTTGAGTTGAATACAATAGTTCCGTCCTGACACGTAAGTGGTGGAAGGCTACTGTGTGAGAAGTTCGGAAAGACCGACTGCCATTGCGCTGCGACATTACTCTGTACCTAACTTTTATATCATGTTGGTTTTTGGCATTGCGAACCGCTGCTTTATATTTGTTTCTGAACTCAACATCGGCTTGTCTGTTCTCTACAGTGGGGTTTTGTAAGAAGGTGCTGTGTGCCTTGATCTTCTGCTGGCGAGCAGCATCACACGATTTGTTAAACCAGCGGTTGGACCCTGGTCTAGGCACGTTCACTGTGTGAGGGATGTATTCCTCCATTCCGACGTGGACAATTTCGGTTATCGAAGAACAGACAGCCGACGCATCCGCGTCAGTGAAACAGACATCTTTCCAAGGAAAGCTAGATAAGAAATCTCTGAGCCCCTCCCAGTCGGCATGTCCGTAATGCCAAGTTTTGTGGCCTGTACGAGTTTCTGCTGCCACAGTGGGTTCTGACCGAAACCTAACCTCCACAACACCGTGGTCTGAGTTACCCAGGGGTGACAGGACAGCAGTGCTGTAAGGGGCAGGATGCGTGGTCAGAAAGAGATCCAGCAGGCTACTGGCGGGGGAAAAAGTAGGACTCGTCACCAGCTGAGTCAGCCCTTTGGTAAGAGCGAACGCTTCGACTGCACGACCTGCTGCTTCGGTCTTGTTTGAGCCCAACCAAAGCTCGTTATGGGCATTGAAATCACCGAGAAGAACCACCCCTGAAGCGGGATGATTGATGTTCAGGAAGTCGATCTGGACGGCGAGGTATTCGAGTAGGTCATCCCAGTTATGGTCCGAGGGAGAGCGATAAAGGCAGCAAATAAACTTGGGTGATGTTTTGGAGTTGAGACGAAGCCACAGAATGTCCTTCCGGTCTGATTCCAAAGAAACATCTCTGGAGCAGGAAAGACTGCTGCGGACAAAAGCCACAACTCCCCCGTTCTTTCTCAGATTGGAGTGCACCTCGTAGTTTGGGAAGTTAAGATGGTTAATCGGTGCCGACTCTGAGATTTTTGTCTCCGCCAAGAAAAGCACGGCGGGACGATTGGATTGCAGGTAGTGATGAACAGCATCAATGTTTCTGTTAATCCCGCAGATGTTCGAAAAACAAATTATATCTTCGATGTTGTTCCCTCGAGCCCACCCTCCACCCGGACATTCCGAGAGTGGAATGAGTTTACGTCCAGAGTTCTTAGTGCTCGAGGGATCCATCATCATTAATTTCTTTGTTTTGGAGGATAACCGACTGCATAGCTTAGGTGTGGAAACGTGCGGACATTTATAAGACACCCTAAGAAAAGCTAGCGGGTGGTACTGTCTCGGTCGACTGGTCCTTGTCGACCATGTCTACCACCTTCTTTTTACGTGTTAGTGATGTTAAATAGACCTAAAGTGGCCCGTTGGCGGACATGTACCGACACCCGGCAATCGGTACTGAGGTATTCCTTAACGCGTGGACAATCACTTGAACGGGAAGAAGTTGTATACTGGATACAACAACTTCCGGAACAAGCATTTGCCACGGCCCCACTCAGTAGGGTATAATAATAATAATATACGCCTTTATTACAAAAAAATATGTACATGGTACATACTGGAAGTGGGACTCAACTGCCGAAGTTTAGCAATGCTACTCTTACACTTAACCAGCCGAATCAATAAATACAGTGATGTTAAATAAAAATAATATATATACATATATATACACACATATACACACGTATATACACATACATATATACAGGGTGTCCCGAAAAAAGTCTACAATATTCTACCAGCGGTTTCTAGAGCGTAAAATAGGAAGAAAAGTTTATATAAACACAGATCGACAAACGTCCCCTAAGGGCGCTACGGTCTTTTAAAGGGGCTTCCCTGAAGATGGTTTTTCCTTAATATTTCTGAAACGTGTTGAGATAAAGACATAAAATTTGGTATTCTAGCCTAGTTTTTTATGCTGGATTTAAAAATATTAACAATTTTAGACAGTTTTGTTTGGAAGCATTATGTAACAGAGATGGACTCAGGTTATTTGAGCCCCAACATTTTTGTGTCATTCTATTTTTGAAATTCAATTTTAGAGTTTGAAGATTTAGGGTTTTCTACATAAAAAAGGTACTCTTATTGAATATCGATAAATTGTGCCATTTTTGAACAACATTAAACTAAAAAATTTGTCTCATGATAGGAAATGTACTGCGAATTTAAATGAATTGTTGATTATACATAGTTAGCCATGACTGCAAACAAAAGTTGCTTTGATTTGTATGACTTATTTTGACGTTAAGCTGACATTGTTAGCAGTGTAAAATCACTAGATTAGAATCACAATTTTTATTAAATCGATTTAAAATGCCAAGATTTACAGACAGAGAACTGACTGACATGCATTTTGTGTACGGGTTTTGCAGTGGCAGATCATGGGCAGCCGTAAGAGAATATCAAAGATTTCCCAATCGCATAGTACCTGGACGTCGAATGATTACTGATATTCACCGGAATTTGTCAAACCATGGAAGTTTTCATGCGCTTAAAAATAATATTAGCTTCTCAACGTAATAAATATAAAGTCTGATTGGATGATGAATGTGGAAACCCTAGTATCAGTCAAGCAGCCTGATCCTTACATGCTTACGAAAACTTGCTAAGCTCATACATGTTATATGGCCATAGTAACTACGCAGTTATTATACAATGTTGCACCAGACGCTGTGTCAGCATATGATAACAACTTCTCGCTAATCCGTTGCTAGAATAGTGACTTTGCTGTTTTCTACTAATTCTTAGTCAGCTTTCCGAATGTATAAATAGGCCTCGCGGTCATATCATGTTGTTCAATACCCGGTTAGACTCCGTAAATGTCACATCTGTAAACCTTTGTATTTTATATGGACTGAAGCTTCAGTCCTCAAATAAATTTTTTTAAAAAGTTATTTCTAAATCTAATGAAATTGGTGTCAGAAGTGGGATAGCTTCAATGCATTAGAACACGTGCATACTAACTGGTGCGGTGGATGCCCATCCTTTAAGCTGAAAAGGACCAACGAGCCTTAAGAAGAAAGAAACCCATTGAAGAAAGAAACCTACAAGTAGGAAAACTACAAGTAAGAAACTACAAAGCAACAAGAAGAAGGAAAACAACAGGGGACACAGCGAGCAGCAGCCACCCAACTGCAGACAGACTACTAGAAACATCGCAAGAGATCCACTAGCCGCCTGGAGAACTCGACTGCCTCCCGATTTACCCTTGGTAACGTACAATTTCAATCTAATTATTTTTTGCGATTTATCTCTGTGTGTGTGATTTTTACGTATGTTTCCCCATTTTTACGTATTTTTCTATTTTACATTTGTATATTTTTGCGTTTACGCTTGACATTGTTGAATCTTTTTGAAACAACTTTCCATTTAAAATGTCTACTAACGGTTCAGATGATTACCAACCAGCTGAAATTCCTGATAACGTTCATGCGAACATTGAACCTTATAGATTATCTGAAATATTTTCGATTGTACCCGAGTACGATGGAAACCCGATATTGCTATCGACCTTCATCAACGCCTGCCGAACGGCATATCAAATGGCCGTCGAGGAGCAGCGGCTTCTCGTCGTTTTACATATTAAAAACAAACTTCGCGGACGTGCCGCCGAACTTGTGAACAGCCGAAACCCTTCCACGTGGGAAGACATCCGGTCCCTGTTAGAAACCCACAACGAATCACCCCTAACCTTTGCATCTAGACTGCAGACGCATGCAGCCAAAATGCATTCCGCCGTGAATAGGCAAAATCTAAATCGCCAGCAAAAATCTGCTCAAAGTTCTCTCATCGAAACGATGACTTTAAATTGTCTATTAACAGGATTAGACTCGAAAATAGGACCTGTTGTGCGATCAGGACATCCCACGGATATCTTGACCGCAGTTTCGTATATCAAACGAGAGTTACAACTCTCATATTTGGAAAGACAAAAATTCGCCAGGGCCCCAAACCCGAATCAAAATTCTGTTAATCGAAGACCAAACCTTAAAATTTGTAATTTTTGTAATCGTCCCGGTCACTTGGCAAATGAATGCCAACGGAGACAACAGTCTACAAGTTTTGCCCCGAGACAGTTTAACCAGCCCCAGCCTCAAAATTACCGTAGACCGAATCAACCTATGCAAGTTAGACCGTCTACATCTAACTACCATCAAAATTCTAATCAATATCCTCCCAGACCATCTATAATACGACCAAATGCGCCTAACGCGAGTGCGCCAAGACCCTCTGTAATTCAGAGCAATCCAAATTACCAAAACCCTAATTTTCAAAGAAATTTTAGACAAAATCCTCCCAATCGAATTAATTATGTCGCTCCTGATTCTTACGATTATTCCGACTACGGTGAACCAGGACTACGCTAATGAATATGACGATACCCAACACTCCGCCTACACACCTTCCCCATACGATGATTTTAGAGAACCCAGTAACGATTTTTGTTACGAATATAATCAAACCGCCGATACATTTGTTGACCACGCTTATTCGGACATACAACAATTCCAGGATTTTCAGAGTGTTTGAAAGAGAAACCCCCTGCGGAACCCAACGACAGTACCGCGATAGTATGTGCGAACTTAGCGAATCTCAGTGACGAGGACGCGAACGCGAAACCGTGTGCGAGCGTCAGCAACACACGCGATCAGATGTTCATATAAATCCTCCGTTTATAGTCCCGTCGACAATTCACCCCGTTAGCCAAGACAACTTATATTACATTAAAGATGCTACTGGAAAATTCAAAATTCTCATTGACAGTGGTGCAGATTGCTCCATTTTCAAACGTAACACTTGTAAAAATTATACCAATCGTGTCGCAGAAAATATCTCTATCCGAGGTATTACTGACGAAAAAATTAGTATTACTGAAGCAGTCTTAGTCCCATTTGCTCCCAATGATTATCACACAATTTATGTCCATGATCTAGATACTTCATTCGATGGCCTTCTTGGGTCAGATTTTCTTGAACATTATGATTGTATTATTGATTTGAAAAATCGTCAATTGATTACAAATTTCAAAACAGTCCCTCTTTTCCAACTAGGTGACGGAAATAATTCCAAAGCTTCTCAGTTTAAAGAAAAGTCCCAAGCTTCGCAATTTAAAGAAAATTCTCAAGTTCATAATGTTATTTCCTTTCCTCCCAGAGTTGAACAAGTTGTCAAGCTCAAATCCGAGCTTAGAAATACTGAAGCCATTCTTCTGGCGTGTGAGGTAGAAAAAGTCCGTCTATCCAGTTCCATGTAAATGTAATTTTACCCCAATTAAATTTCTAGCCCTTTAACGAACCTCCTATCAATAATTTCAACACTTCTTTACATAGTCAAAGACAGTATAACCGTAGAGATGTTATTAGAGATCAATTACGTCTCGATCATCTCAACGAGGAAGAAAAAGAATTAATTACGAATCTTTGTTTAGATTTTTCGGACATATTCTATTTAGATGGTGATAGCCTGTGATTTACAAACGAAATTAAGCATTCCATTGATACCACTACCAGTAAACCAATTTTTTACCAAATCCTACCGATACCCTTATGGCCACAAGCAAGAAGTCAAACATCAAATTTCAAAATTACTAAAACAAGGTATTATCGAACCTAGCACGTCGCCATGGAATTCTGCGGTGTGGGTTGTACCAAAGAAAATGCACGCCTCTGGTAAACAGAAATGGCGTATGGTGATTGACTATCGTAAGCTTAACGAAATCACCATCGATGATAAATATCCCCTGCCAAACATTTCCGATCTACTTGATCAATTAGGGAAATGACAGTACTTTAGAACACTGGTACTTGGCATCTGGATTTCATCAAATCGAGATAAATCTAGTTGATGTTCCTAAAACTGCATTTTCAGTTAAAAACGGACATTACCAATTCTTGAGGATGCCTTTTGGTCTCAAGAACGCTCCTGCCACGTTTCAACGTGTCATGGACAACATCTTGATGGGTATACAAAACGAAAGATGTCTTGTATACATGGATGACATAATTGTCTATTCCCCCTCCATCCAAGAACACATCAGTAGGCTTACCGAAATTTTTAAACGTCTTCGGAAGTCGAATTTCAAAATCCAGCCTGATAAGTGCGAATTCTTCAGAAAGAAAGTAGCCTATCTTGGTCATGTAATAACCCCTGATGGCGTTAAGCCCAATCCAGATAAAGTG